AAAATTTCAAAATTAATAGTGTCAAAGGCCTTTTGAAAATCAATAAAAATCCCCAATGTGTGTTTCTTGTTGTCCCAGGCACTGGTAACACCTTCTACAAATTCAGTAATTGCAAGCGCTGTAGATCTATTAGATCTAAAACCATACTGCTTTTCAGTTAAAATTTTATGTTTGTCCAAAAATTTATCTAATCTAGCATTAAAGAGTTTTTCTAAGATTTTAGAGAACTGCGATAATAAAGAAATTGGTCTATAATTTGTAATATTATGCCTATCTCCACATTTATATAACGGAATAACCTTTGCTATTTTCATACAATTGGGAAATTTTCCTGTTTGGAAGGACAAATTGTTACAGCAGGTCACGTTAATGTGTGCACTGCTATTTCACGCTACAAGCTACAGGGCTCACGTTAGAGGGTAGAGATGATGTGATCCACTCTAGGGATCTGCCATATTATATCAGACAGCTCCTTGGGCCATAAACGTGAGACTATACTTCTCTATACATGTTATACTGTATGTTGATCATTAATTGACAGCCAGACACAGCAACGTAACACTTAGGCAAAATCATATCAAAATGCACAGTGTGCACAGGATTGCAGCTGCAGGTGCCACTGAATCCAACAACACAGCATAGGAAAGGCAAGCAGAAAGCACAAATGCTGGAGAGTTACGAGTGCTTCATTGATGACAATCTGGCAGTGAGTGACTGTGGAGACTTGGCTCACATGCTGGATGAGAGCAGAGCAGGTAGCAAAAAAAGGGAAACCTGGATCAAAGGCAGGGGCTGAGTCTAACACTACAGGGAAAACAAGTGGTGGAGACAGGACATAGACTGTGACAAAAAAATATCTGTTCTGTGCATGTGAAACTCTTTCAGATAAATGCATCAGCTCACAGACAGATTTAAAACAAGACACTTCTCTTGTTAAAGACCACTTCACCACAAATTCATCTTCTCAGATTGCTTTCCATGAAGTCCAGCATCTTCTCCCATGCATCTTCCTGGGCAGCAGCGTGGGGGGTGGGCTGACCTCCCCACAGAGTGAACACTGCAGGAGAAAAAAGAACAAACATCAGAACTACAATTATTTTCGCTTTAATATTATGATCAAGGGTCTAACAGTTAAAATGTAATGACAACAAGTATAAAACTGGATCAGGCTCACATTTTTTTGGTTTACTGCGCCACAGAGCTAATCTTGCATTTGGCGCGTAAGGCGGCTCAATCAGGTGACCGGCACCGGGGTATGACAACCGGGTGAACAGCTCAGATTTACCCGCAGCCTTCAGAGTCTCCTCAATCTGAGAACAAATCAAAAAAAAAAGAAAGAAAGAGGGGAAATGCACATTTAAATTGCAAGAAAATCAGGGTCATTTAGAGCTGAAGTGGTCAGTCTTTAAAATTCAGGTTGTTCAACTGCTGGAATTAAAAAGGATCACAAACAGTTTAGGAAAACACTGGATATTTAACCAGTGTTAATTAATTAATTATTACCTACCACATTTGCACTTTCTATGCTTGCAGCGCTCGGGTCATCTTCACTCACAATGACCATTAATGGGCAAGCAATGTTCTCTATCTGCAAACACTCAAGAAATGATTTTAGATCAGTGTTGGAAATGATAAAAAAAATATTGCTAGGATATTGTCAGTGCACATGTAT